TTTTTAATAATTGAAGTTTTGCTGACAGCTTAAAACAGGATGTCATCGGAACGCCGCCGAAAAGGCTGCGAGCAGCAGTCTTGGCTAGACCGTCGTCTATCGCGGCCTTTCTGTAATATTAAGTTTGATAAAAACTGCTTCAAACTACAAACTCTTTTTGGAACTTACTGCCGGTTAGCAACCTTTTAAATCTCTTTCATCTATTCTGAACAGTTTTCCAATTCTGCTAGGGAATGAGCGATTTTGAAGTTGCAATTTGTACAAATTTCTATTGGCCGATATGCCGCCTCGGGGAGTAGCGCCGTTGTCGTCTGTAGGTAGAGGCTTCGACTCCTCGAGTGGAATAACCACTTTCTCTACGATCCGTTCATTCGTTTCGATGGTAAATTGGTACTAGCATTTGCAAAGGTAACAAACCCGCCGTCAATTTGTTTAAACCTCGATAAAGGGAGTATTTGGCAGCCTTGCCAACGGATGGTTGTTTGTTGGCAGTTTTTATCACTCGGGCTACTTCTGTGGTGCCTACGCCTCTTATAGAGGAATAAACACGAAAAAAGATTTGACTTTTGATAATAAGTTTTAAGGGCACATATCTGTGGTGTGCTGCTGTAGTTAGAGGTAGACCTTCCCCCAGCAGTGAGCTCTCATTAGAAGAGGTTTCGACATCAGTGTTTGTCTCAAATAAGAAGAAAAAACAAGATGTACTAAATGCGCACCATGGGAAAGAGAATTGTGGACAGTTTCTGTAGTACAATAGAACTGTGGTCATTTTTCGATATGAAATCCAGAAAAATATCTCTAGTCACTAATTTGCAAATTACTTTTATGGGACGCAGAGTTGGAGGGCAGACTTTTTTAGTCATTGAGTCCTACATTTTAGCTCCTAAGCTAAAAAAGGTCCAGTACGAAATTTTCACTCACAAGTAGTGATTACCTAATCATTTAGTTTTTTTTACTTATTCATTCTAGTCGTTCCACTCAGTGCCACCAGATTTCCCGGCAGTAGTTAAGCATCATCAGTTATTCAGTCATAAAATTTACGCAATAATGGATAACGGAATAATTTATAGGTATACGGTAACAGCAACATCGGACGGTACCAAATTATCAAGTGCCGCCAAGGACAAAAGCGGTGAAGTGCCAGCAGTCCGTATCAAAGCCAGGTACCAGTCGGTACAGATATTACCGATGCAGGCCTACAGCGATCTGCTAGCTTTCATCAAGTACTTTTTTAAATACATTTATAAATACCATTTAAAAAAATCCCCTTTAAAAATACACCCTTTAAAAATTTCCTTTAAAAAAAAAACTCGAAATTTATAAAACTGGTTAATCTTCCTTTTCCCTCAAAAAAAAATCAGTTTTTTTTTTATAGCAAATTAATACTTTCAAGAAAAAAGATCGACACCTCTCCAGATAGCAGTTTCCTGCTGTCCGCGCTTTCACGTTGATCACGGAAAAAGTGCTGTGTTCAATCGCAGTATTCATGGAAATTTTAAATGGTACTAACATATATGAACCGTTGCAGACGGCGATATTTGTCACTCTGTTGTGCATTGGAACCAAATTTGAGTGTGAAAGCAAAGGAGGATTTGGCAACAGCACTTGTACGGATAATGCACAAGCAGCAGATGGCCAAACATTTCCTCTGTGATCTGATCATGTCTGAAGTGGATGTCCTCGGTATGTTTATCCGGAAAATGGTACCAAGAAAAGTTCGCCTCTACCTTGTTTCGTGGGTGACTGCGCGGAAGTTTACGTCATGTTATTGGAGGTGTAGGAATTCTGGGTTTTAACAGCGCATAATTTCAGTATTTCTTTTGGAACTGCATGAATTTTTAGATTAAAAAAAAGTTTTAGATTGAAAAATGACTCCGTAGTTTGGGACTGCTAGAAAATTTTTGAGCTAAAAATTTTTAGCTCATGCTGACCTTTTAAAGAATTCTTGCTGCGCTGTGTATTCAGCCTACCAATCCCGTGTCTATCATGAATTGAAGAAGAGTATTTGATTCGGATTTTTTCGAACTTTGACAATAATCTCGATGAGAATGAAAATTACAGACAACGAGCATCTGATGTTTCGCGGTAACTCGCTTGCAACAAAGGCAATGGAAGCATACATGAAGCTCGTCGCCGACGAATATCTTCAGGTAACTGTCCCTTTACGATTCGTTCAAATGGCAGATTGGTACTGGCGCATGCTTAGAAATCAAACTCGCCATCAGCTTGCTCAGCAACTTTAGGAAAAGCGGCCATCGGCATTCCTTCCAGCGAGTGATTGTTACTGGCACTAACTACTAGAGGAAATACTTCCGAGTGCCTCCGCCTCTCATTGAAAGTGAATATGTGGAGTGATTGTCTTTGACATAATTGTTTTGGGTTTTATCGAATCTGGATCTGCACACTTTCACGTTAAATATGTACCTTTCCTAAGCCCCGAATCTAAAATATTCAGTCACTGCGGTCCCTGCTGCTGTTGAACAATAAGAAAACGTTCAGCCATCGGATTGTAGTTTGGATATCATTGAAGCGGTGCAAGCTTAAATTCGAGATTCAATGAATCTTAGCAACACTGCAATCTTATTTGCATGTCAGCCTTAGAAAAAGGTGAATGCAGATGCATACCAGAGGAATATCAGCTCTCTTTCTGTCTTTTGTTCGTGCATTACGAAAAAGCGTCCAGTATTATAGAGCTGAAGGCTATGGTACGAAAGCCTGTAGAAGAACGGACTGGAAATTTGTTAGCGATAAATAAAATATTGTTGGAAAAAGTTAGCTCATTTCTCTTCAGAATACTCTGGGCGAATTTGTGAAAACAATGCAACAATCCGACAAGGACTGTGAGGTGGATCCGCTAAAAATGCCCAATATTAATCCAATAGCTCTGGAGAAGAATCGCCATCAGTTGGTGGCCGCTGTTGAAACTGCTTGGTGCAAAATTTTGAACAGGTGAATTCACCGTCAAACAAATTTTTCTTATTTTCGTTTTAAACCCAAAATTTGGATTTTAAGCTTTTAAAGAAGTTTTGCAGAAAATAAATTTCCGTCAGTTAGTGAGTTAAACGAGGTTGTTTTCAGTACTGATGTATTTCCCATTGAACTACGCGAAATATTCGATTGCTTACGAAGGCGCCTTGAAGATATCGGCCGCTTGGATCTAGCGGATACGTTGATTTCTTCTAGTATCTTCCTACGCTTTCTATGTCCGGCAATACTTAGCCCCAGCTTGTTTAGCTTGGTAAGAAAAGATCGTGATTTTTTACTCGAAACTTAATTCTTTGATGATAAAGAAATAGTGTTATTTGAAGTTGAAGTGCTAATGGGATGTTACGTGTTTGTCTGTTCACAATAGACCGTGTGCAAACGAGAATTATAAGAATAGAGGTGTTGACATATGTAATATATAAAAAGTGTATTTAAAGAATAATCAAATGAACAGGAATATGTAGGCCCATTAAGCCGTTTACACTCCCAGCCACCATCAGAAGTGGGCCCCATCAGTACAGTGATTGTGATTTTGATAAAATAAATAAATAAACATATATATATATTTCATGACCATAGCTTCACTAAATCAGGAGAAATAAAACAGGCATAAATTTAGGCTCGACCTTTGGCAGTAAGGTAACGTGAATCTAAATTTCAGGTTTCTGAATATCCCTCTGGGCGAGCAGCACGTAACTTGACGCTGATTGCTAAAACATTGCAAACGCTGGCAAATTTCACGAAATTTGGCGGTAAAGAGCACTATATGGATTTCATGAATGAATTCGTGGAACGTGAATGGGATAACATGCATCGCTACTTGGTGCGAATATCAACACTACCATCGGATAGTCCGAGAGCTGCAACCGGTGAAAATGACTGGAATATCCCAGTGGATGTCGGCAAAGAAATATCACTACTGCATACGTATCTGGACGAGTTATGGACTCAGCAGGCTCGTTTTAATTTTTATTGCAGAACTTAAAAATTATCATGTTTTGGGGACTGGATCATTTCTTGTGCTGGATGAATACTTAGGAGTTTTGACTTTGAATCATTCCATTACTCGAAGGATTTTTTAGGTTTAGCACTGTTTGAGGAATTTTTTCA